AGACTAATGCTCTCATGTGAAGGTTACTTAGAATATATCTGTATCGTGAAAATAATATTCACTTTTGTTTATATAGTATCACCAATAATATTGATATCGCCGGTGACAATTGCTTATCAAATTTGTTTTGAATTTATGCTAATGGCATATCAGACTTATCAGATCGTTATAATCTCATTGCAACAGAATGTGAATCGATTCTTAAAAATTGAGATTATGCGAATCCACCAAACCAAAAATATCAGTTCTATTTTGAAGAATTTAAAAAATATTTCTTCCATAACAAAAGGTTTAGATGATGTTCATAAACTCTTTGTGGAAAAATTTAATTTTTTTGTTTGGATGAATTTGTCGAGCATTTTCAGTTGCATTTTTAACACATATCTACTGCTACATTGTTTAGGTTTCTCAATGGAAACTACTTTCACTAAAGTCTTAATAGTCTTTGAATTTTTCGTACCGGCATTGGTTATAATTTGGATCAACACTTACTTACTCGCTATTTTAAATGAATCGTTTAAAATCGAACGTACACGGACTAATGAGCTCTTGATTACTTTATATCTTCAACAGAATTTAGTCGATGAGGAAAGCCATCATAAAATCGTGCCTATAGCCGAAAAAATTGTAAGTTTAAATATTAGTTTTGAAATGAAAAGAATTATTCTATTATATGTAAAATTTTAGATGGACATGAATTTGTTAAGGACTTTTTTAAAAAATGACGGCGTCAATTTTATAAAGAAATCATTGCTTCAATATTTCATAATTGTTATGTTAAATTCATTAACTTGTGTATTGTACCAAAATAGTGATAACAGTGTTCTTTGTGTCATTGCTTAAGTTCATTATCTCGAAAATTGTTAAATAAATTTAATTGCAAAAATTTTATAAATAATTTTACATTATCTTCAACGAGAACTACATACACTAATTAATCACTAATATATTTTCAGGTATGAAATAAATGAGTCAGGTAATAAGAATGTTTTTGATACTACCAGATCTACATAGATGTGATTTATAAATTATCTTTCTTTCTATTCCAAAGTTTATTACCGAAAATTACTAAAGCGACTGTTCTCAAAAAGTACAGAAGTCACTAAAGAATGTTTTTTTTGGGAATATAAGAAACTTATGTATAGTCGATGTAAGTCAAAAAAAAATTTTTTAATGTAGCAAACAAAATGGATTATTATATTTGCATAGAGCTGCTCTGATTGACTACTATATAGAACTAAAAATATTAAAGAAATAGTTCTTAGAGTGACCGTGGTGACATAATTCCACAAGTCTTTCACATCTCATTCATTTACATGTAGTCACAATAAAGTGTTACTAAAGCAGAATAAGCTTCCTGAGAAGCTAGAGAAAACAGTGAAATGTATTTTCACTTCTCCGGTTGCTAAGTCCGGGCATCTATTGTTTATTGAATCGCCGATAGATAGACAGTATCGATTAAGATATTTTCAAACTTAGAAGCGAAAGTATATAAGAACATAAAAATGGTTCAGAAAACTTTTGTCATAGTTACACTTTACAAAGCGATGATACTTTATCCCCTTAACTGGATTTCTTCAAAACCTATCAAATCACTACAAGTGACCATAAAGTCTGAATAAACAATTATATTAATCAATGGAAATGAGTGTGCGGACAATCTTGCGAGGACAGGATCTGCAATTCAACTCTGTGGACCGAACTTTGTGCCATTCAACTCTGTGGATATTGTGTTGGTCTACAACTGGGTCTCTGATTGAAAAATGGTTTTCAATCAAAAGTCACTACTGGCGCAACATTCTAGGTTACTGTCGGACTAAAGAGCTCTTCGTCCTTACAATTACGATACGGTATCCTTCCCCAGCAGAACAGAGTTGAGGTTGCTGGTGGGATATTTGACGGCTCACCATAGACCACGTTATCACTTTAACAAAATGGGATCAGCTTAGAAGCAGACGAGGCTTCTGGTCACATTCTCTATTACTATCCATGCTTGATCTAGGCCAGGAGGAAATCAATTATTTGAGAATTACTTTTCCCGTCTGACACTAGAAGGTCCACAATGTCTAAAATTTTGACTTTCATTTGAAAAATACAGAAATATAGTATTTGCGTGCTGATACATAGTTTGACAATAATTTAAACTCGTTTGATGTCAAAGATAAAATATGAATCGATGTACTCTTTCTTTCTTTAAGTTTAATTTCCATGGCATTCGATTAATTGAGACACAGGTCGTGAACGACATTATTATAACAGAAATCAGGAAAAATGAAAATTAGTCTTTTGCTGCTTTAAAAATAGTATTTATTTTTGAAACTTTTCACTACTTTGAATAATATTCATCCATGAGCGAAGGTGTAGTTAAAACAATATTGGTGAATCAAATAATTTCCATATCATTTTGCATTTAGGGTTTGAAAAAGTCAGGAAAGTAAAAAAGTTTTGATAGAAATATATAGTAATAAAAAGAAAGACCGTAGATGTCTGGATATCCGTAACTTAATGCTTATTTTTAATTTCTAGAATTATTCTTCATTCTTTATTCTTATTCTTCTGCTAACTAAAGATCAATTTGAATTACTAAATACTGTATTATTTTCGATTAGCACTTTTATTCTCTCGCTGCCTTTCATACAAAATAATAATAATCGTTAAGTGGCCCAATATCGTTTTACGAAATGATACGATTTCCATCTTTGAATAGAAGTTTTTGTAGGACTTTTTAGGAATAATAAATAAGATTGTATGAATGAAAAGTGTTTTGTTGATAGACATAGCTAAATTTGCCTTAATGTATTAGATGCTTGTATTGCATTAAGTAGAGTTCACTTTAAATGCAACACAACAAATTTTGACTGATTGATCACATACTTTTTAATTCTAAACGACCTTGTCTCTAATAAAATTTGTTAAAGATTAAATTTAATCAATATCTTTAGTTGAAAAATTAAGCAAATAGTTTCTATTTTTAAAGTTTTTAGTTTCATTCAAGTATTTTTACAAATGAATAACATAGAAATGATATCTTTGATAAGCTGACTCTACTTTTCTTTGTACACACCTACCTAGATAAAAATATTTGCTTTCTATATAGCTTGTTGATATTCATTGATTGCTTAAATGTTAATTTTACTATAATTTCTTTATCGCATGTTATCAGAAATATACAATAACTACTACAAATAGATCACGTGAGTTCTATGAGAAGCATAGACATTAGATAAAAATTGTTGTACGTGACATTGTAAATAAGTTGAACATACTCGTATATAAAACCAGTAAGAAGTGGATTAAGAGGTTACAATTAATAAAAAGTTTACAGAAAAGTTATAAGCTAAAGTATATTTTAATAGATACTCAAATTTGAAACCGTATTGTTTTTTTTTTCTTTTTTTGTGTATAGATAATATTGTTACTTTGTTCATCAAAGTTAATATTTCCGGTGAATAATCCGAAAATGATTTATAAATAATAAGTCATAAGTCATGAGTCATATAAACCATTTTTTCGCATTTCAAATAACTGATAATTGTGCACTCTATTAAATCAGCAATTTTTCGAATAACTGTCCGATTCAAGGCTCGTAGAAGACAACATCAAGATTGTTACCGAGTACTGTATATACTGTATGTTATATATAACTATATGGTATATAGTTAGAAATATTTCTCCAATGTCCATTAAACTAAAACAGTTTGTGGAAATAGTCTGCGTTAACTGCATACCGAGGAGGACGATGGGTTGATAAAACAAAAATTTGAAAATTGTCAGGAAAGTATATAAACAAAAGTAGTCTATCCATATTTAAAACATTTATTTAAACTCAATCATTAGAAAAATATTTTTTATACCCAGATCCGTGTTGGCTCGTGTTTTACCGACAAGAAGAGTAGTGTCAAGAAGTTTATGTCCACATATTTGAATATATATTCTTTAAGCCATATTAGCACTTATAAAAATGCAAAGACAATTTAATCACTTATATAAATAAACCTACACGTAATAGATATAGTATTTTTGATATATAAAAGTTGTTATCAATAAATGAAGCCAATTTGACAGCAATAATTTCATTAATATTGTATGTTCTGAATCAATACACGTCAATATACTACAAAAAGCATTTGCTATCATAATTAAGAATACCAAAAAAAAAAAGAAATACCATCATAATAATAATTATTATAAGTAATTGTTTCATATGAAATAAAGAGTTATGTACAAGTGGTATAGTAAATAAAATTCACTCAATTAAATTGTATATACTGAAGTCCCTTATATATGACAGGGAATTCAGGGTACATTAACGCACTACTTTACAATTTGTTAGAAGACACTTTTTTAACACTTATATACAAATACATAATATTAGATTGTATCAAATTAGAAATGTCTTTTACAATACACTAACAATTGATGGTTTCGTTCATTTCAGTTGTCGGGTCATACTTAAAATGAAAGGATCAACATCATTCATAACTACAAGGACTAAAAGTTTGTTAAAATATTCAAAATTCTTGTGCCTATATACATTCGCGTATAGCAAGGATAAACAAATTTTATACATAGAAAAAATTAATGTTTATAAAATATTTTTTGTTATTTTGAAAATATTTTTCGTGGGTGTTCACTTGATTTCGGATTATTTTGTGATGTCGTCAATAAACAAATACTTAGATACAAGCAATGGTGCTCACATGCAACGATTAATTATAGCTCATCTTATATATATAACACGATCTGTGTGTCTTTACCTATTTTACTACATATTTCATTCGAAAAAATATGCAAATATAATAGTCAAAATAACAAATGACTTGATCTCCACTAAAAATGCTTTGTATAAGCTCGACTCCAGACTAAGACTCTCATGTGAAGGTTACTTAGAATATATCTGTGTTGTGAAAATATTATTTATGTTTATCTATGTGATATCACCACTAATCTTGATCTCGCCAGTAACAATTGCTTATCTGATTTGTTTTGAATTTATGCTAATGGCATATCAGACTTTTCAGATCGTCATAAACTCATTGCAACAGAATGTGAATCGATTTTTAAAAATTGAGATTATGCGAATCGATGACACAGGAAACTGCGATCATTTTTTAAAAATTCGTAGAAACATTTCTTCCATAACAAAAACTTTAGATAATGTTCATAATCTCTTTCTGGAAAAATTTAATTGGTTTGCTTTGATGAATTTGTCAAATATTTTCAGTTGCATTTTTAATACGTACCTATTTCTGTACTGTTTGAATTTTTCATTGGAAATTGTTTTATTTAAAATATTAAAGTCTTTACACTTTTACGTGCCTGTACTTGGTATTATTTGGATCAATATTTACTGGTTTGCTATATTAAGTGAGTCCTGGAATATTGAAAGATCAAAAACTAATGATCTATTGCTATCTGTATATCTAAAACAGAAATTATTGAGTGGGGAAGGCACTCATAATATATTATCTGAAACCGAAAAAATCGTAAGTTTGAGTAAAATTTATAATATAAAATAGTTATTCTATGGTATAAAAAATTTTAGATGGACATACATTTGATGAGGATTCTGATTAAGTATGATGCCATCAACTTCACAAAGAAATCATTACTACAATATTTCGTTATTGTTATTTTAAATGCATTATCCTGTTTGTTATATCAAGTTACTGAGAAAGTTGATATGTGTGTAATAGCTTAAAAGTTTTAATATGAAATAAAGCTTTACATATCTGTTAAATATAGACATATATAATAGTTCTTTTTAATTAAATTTAAATAAAATAAACAATTTAACAACCAATACGTTTTCAGATAAGAAATAAAAGAATTAAGTAGTTAAAAGTACTATAAGTGTATATCTCTGTTTGTGGAATACAAGCCAGAGTCATAAAGTTTTTGGAACTAATATTTGTTTAAGTATACAAAGAAATAATACAAAAATATTTTTTCATAAGATACTTGGTAGCTGTAGGCAACCTTTTATGCAAAATCTATTTTTTTCGGTGTTTTAAAGGTTTCTAGCAGGTGTCTTAAATATGTCAGATGTGTTATTATAACACTTATATACCATACTTGGGATTATTCTATTACAATAACTGTTTTATAGTTTATTATTCTCCATATCATTTTAATTTGTTACTCATTCATCATATATACTACAGCCAGTTCTTCTTAGACGGCCATCAACATCAAATAACAAATAGCACGTCAAGGAAATACATAATGTGATGCTTCAAAATCGTCGACTAAAAATTATAAATCGCGTTGATACTGTTATTAGTTATTTGCATCTATCTATAATGATTCCAAAGATATTTTGCTTCTTAAATAAATGAATTTCGTTTGATTTTAAAAACACATTAATTTTTTTTAAATAGTTTTGGGTAGCGGACTGTCAAATCACGCATTCTTACTTTGAGGATACGATAAAAAACATGATAACTGGATGTATGATTTGGACCTGTGCAAACGATCCGAAGACATTCGTCCAATCAAGCAAGTACTGTGAGCAAGTGAGAGCAATCAAGCAAGTGAGACAATAAGTGAGCTAATCAAAAGATTAAGCCAAAGTAGTTTAAAAATCAAGGTAATTTTTGCAATTTTATCTGATTAGAGTGGTGTGATGGGTTATGAATTATCTATGTTTCTGCATCACGATAATGCACCAGCTCACACCACATTGGTTCTTTGAGACAACTGTTTCACCAAAAGTCAACTCATATTGATCCACAACCATTGTTGACATGCTTTGACTTCTAGTTATCCTCCGTTACAGGAACACCGTTTCAATTTGATTGAAAGGATAACACAAATCGCTGCGTGCTTTGAAGGCAACTTCGATAAACGACTTTGGCATTTCTATTCAGGATTAAACAGAAATTGACATAAGAGAATTGTATCAGAAGAAAAGTGCTTTAAAGGCAAGAAAATAGATTAAGAAGAATAATTATAGTTTTTAGAAGTCATAAACAATTTCACTTTATATTTTGATCACAATATTATATAGAGCTCACATGTTCTTTGGGTATTTGCAATCGACCAAACATCGGTTACTAGAACCCTCTTTGATTTTTTCTGTTCCAGAACTTAATATTATATTATTTCTTCACTAAAGAAGTTGATGAACATAGCTAAATTTGTCTTAATGTATTGAAATGGTTGTATTGCATTTAGTAGAGTTCACTTTAAATGCAACACAACAAATTTTGACGGATTGATTATATATGTATGTTACTTTTGTATTCTAAACGACCTTGTCTCAATAAAATTTACTAAAGATTAAATTTAATCGATATCTTAAGTTAAAAAATAAGCAAATAGTTTCTATTATTAAAGTTCCGGGTGGATTATGAGCCATTCAAGTTTTCTTACGAATGAGTAACATGGAAATGAAATGCTTGATAAGTTGACGGAGAGTTAAAAATATTTGCCTAGATAAAAATATTTGCTTTCTATATAGCTTGTTGATATTCATTGATTATTTAAGTATTAATTTTACTATAATTTCTTTATCGTATGTTATCAGAAATATACAATAACTACTACAAATAGATCACGTGAGTTCTATGAGAAACATAGACATTAGATAAAGATTGTTGTACGTGACATTGTAAATAAGCTGAACATACTCGTATATAAAACCAGGAGCCAATGGATTAAGAGGTAAAAATAAAAAGTTTCAAGAAAAGTTATTAGCTAAAGAATGAAATATAAATGAAGGGTCTATACAGAGACCACACCATTTTAATAGAATAATGTCATTACTTACTTAAATAAGTTAGACACTTTAAAAACATGGAATCAATGGAATCAGAAGTCTTCTTGGGACTTTTGCTATGATTTTAAATTAAATTTATGCACAAATATATAGAATTATATACAACTATTAATATAATTAGTTGATTTTAAATGTACTGCTTCAGCTACTTAAAGAAAATACTTCACATAAGTTAATAATAGAAATAATAAATATTGAAAAAAACAAAATTAAAAATATTTTTAAAGAAATTACATATACATATATATAGTGCATACTCAATATTTCTAGATAAATAAAAATCACCAATTCTGATTTCTATACAAAATTACATAGAAGTAAGGCACAACAATGTTCATAGTGTCGGTGTCAATAGATATAAGTACCACTTAAATGACATTATAAGATAAGAATGTTTGTGTATATTATTAATAATAAAAAAAAAAATTAAAAAAATTGATATTGATTTGTTGTAGTTATAAACATAATCAAAAAATATGACTCAAAAATAACTTATAAAAGCAGTAGTAAAAGTAAATATTGCAAGTTTGCAAATAGATTTGAGTATAATAATTTAAGTAATAAATTAAGAGTACTTTGGTTAGTGTCACTTAGTAAATAAAAAAGTAATAAAAAACTTGGAACTTGAGCATGGAAAATTTGGACAATCTTGGCTACTTGTGGAACAACACGATTAGTTATCACCTCTAAATTGACAGGTACGAGTTCTAAACCTGGCAATTGCCAGGTTTCCAATCAAATTATATACAGACTGTAAACTAATTAAAAAAAAATTCGAATAATTTCTAAGACCACTGATGATGTGTACTTGACAATACTCGTAACAGCATTGCATGGTTAGCCAAATTTTAATACAATACATAAATTTTTGTTGTTGTATTTTCTTTTCTATCCGAACCCTTCTAGTTTTTAAATAGTTTCATGTCATCATAAGACGCGTCACTTTCAACATGTTACTTTTACATAAAATTATTAACATTTTTTTTATTAAAGTAATATAATCAAACTTTGAAACTGTGCACGTTAATGAGAGAACTTACTTTTTTATTGGTAATTGTATACTGATTGCGTTTCTCCACAAGTAGTAACAATTTATAAGAGCCGCTCAAACTGATTGAGAGAATGAAATTGCCTACAGACAAGTTAAAGAATTCATGCCGAATCCATCAAAAGCCAGAACTAGGGAGCTTCTAATACTGAACAGAAATGGCAGCCGACTTGTCACAGGATTTCTCACTGGAGATTGTGGAATAAATAAGCATCTATCGAACGTAGGTATTACAAGAGACGATACCTGCAGACTTTGTTGCGAAGAAGAGAAAACAGCAGAACACATTATGTATCACTGTGATAGTCTCGCCATACTCAAACTTCGATATTTATCAACTGCCTATCCACTTATAAGGGAATTAGACAGCAACTCTCCAAAGGACATAATGGCGTTCTTAACTCCTACTCGTCTATGGAACTAAAGTGGGTGTGTCACAATAATCCTCAAAGAATGCAGTGATGTGGTGACAAGTTCCTAACCCGTTTAAAATCTAATTCAATCTAAAATTATAGTTATTATTTTCCAATATCAAATTCAAGATGGGTATTTAGCGATTACATTACCAGCTGAATGGTAACCATAAAACTCTCAAATAACTAAGAAATACAATTTTATTGGTCTTATATATAACTATTCTAATCTTTTTATTAAAAATAATGAATATTGTATTATTGAAATAAATATAGGTTAACCACGATACAAAAAGCGGTGTAAATATAATTATTGTTATAAATAATCAAAATCAATTATTATCATTTTTAATAAAATTTTGTTCAGTAAACCAGAACAAACTTATTATTTTTATCACAATTACTATCAATAATAATTAAGTTCATTAAGTTAAGTTAAAAATATCTCGTTATTATAAAGCCGCGAAATTGCTAAAATTATTATAGCAATTTATTGCAATTATAATAGTGCTTCTAATAACAAATTTAATCTTTTGATTATGAAATGAATATATTTGATAAAAGATAGTAAACGTCTGTCAGTTTTTGTGTATTATTATTAATTTTAGAACATACCTAACACATAAAAACAATTTCACACAAGCCAACCCGTCTAAGAAATTAAAGAAATTTTATTAATTTTTTGATAAAAAGTGAAGTACAATAAAGTACATAGATGAAAAAATATTGATGAAAAGTAAATTTAATTGAGTGTTGTTACGATGACTAATTTATTATTTTTTATAGCAGTTATTGAAATTTCTGCCACTAAAATAGCACGAGTTATCAGTTTACAGTAATATTTGTGATGAAATTCATACACTGAAAAAAAATATTATAAATGCTTAGCTTAAGAACAAAAAAAATACTTCAATACGTCACATATTATCTAGGCATTATATCGACCCATTATATTGTGAGTTCTATAATACTGAATCCAACCCATTCATACATTTACAGAGTAAATTACGAGTCTCTTGACTTAACTTTATATTGATTACGTATTTTATGACAAAAGTGAAACTTTTATAAACAATTTTTTTACGTATAAAAATTATAAACAAATTCTCTCATTTGCCGATTCGGAGAGTAAAAATTAATTGTTGGTTTCTAATCACAGTCAGATAAAAATATTTTTAAAAAATTTCATTTACTTAAGAGTACGAATGCATAAAATTAAGCGAACAGTTTTATTTCGAACGAGAACGAGTGAAGTTTATAACTAATTTGTTATTAAAACTAAAACATTAGATAGAAAATTATATATACACAATATATAGCAGTGGTATTTTAAATCAACTGACATATTTTGTAGTAAATTTAAAAAAAGTTTTATTCTAAAAACTTGAAAAAATTGTTAAATTTGATGAATTCATTAATTTTTTAATATATAATAATAAAAAGTTAATTAAACGTAATGGATACAAAGCAACCATATTATGGACAAAACCCACAATATAATAGTGGTTACCCACCGCAACCACAGCCCTCATACAATCCAAACTACCCACCACAGCATGCCCCACCACAGACTGGATGGTTCGAGCGAAACCAAAAAAATAAGCCACAATCAAATTCTGTAGGAGCAGGTAAATAATAATAAAATTAATATACTATACATGGACTTAATGCAATTTTCACTGATAAATTTACGATAGAATGGCATACATTATAAATCTTTTTATTATGATAACTGACTACTATCATGGTACTGTGATAACGCTGGATTTTAAAACCAAAAAAATATGGTTTATGACTTAATGTAAAATATATAATTCTAAAACACTTTAGCTATCATAGTAGAGAATATTGTTTTCACAAGTTTGAGATCCGAGACTCATGTGTACTGCCACGTGATGTGTACTAAGACTGGCCCCTTAAATATATGTTATACAATCATTAGTTTTTTCTACCTTTCTCATCAAAGTTACAGAGTCCTTATAGTGCCTGAACCTATAGTTATAAGCAGCAAACAAGTATTTTAATGTAATACGATGGGGTTCATATGAAAGTAGATTATTCAAATGCGGACAGGTGATTGGCATTCATAGTCCTTTCTCATATTTTTTAAATACGAAGTAAGTACCTAAATGAAAATAATAGATCCAACATTGCCAAAAACTTTATTTATAACTAAAAAGTAAATCAAAAGACTTGTTTCATGTAGATATAAATATATATAATACATAAAGAATATGCTATAACAACATTTTTGAATATTATAATTATTTAATTATATTTCATGTATATATTATATGTTTTCTTACACATAAGGTGTATAACAACTGCTTTAAAGATTAGTTATCAATTATTCTCGCACAATAATCGAACGAAATAATTCAACGAAATTCTCTTATCTGTGCTATCGTTGCACACTCCTTTATGGTATTCACTTTGTTTGATAAGATTAACATAACTAATATATATAACTTAAAATAAAAACACTAATTCGCACATAAAAACATTATAATATATTTTTTATAGCTCAACAATACCGGGCAGTCGAATCTATTAAAATTATTATTAAAAGTTTAAAACGTGAAATCGTCCAACAGCCGGTACTATGACCAGAGGAGTCTTATTGTACCAATTTTACTATTGATTACACAAAGCCCCTTAAAACTTTGTGAACAAAGTCCAGAACTAAATCTAGAGAAGAGTTCTTAATCAGTTCTGGTGACAGAAATTCCATATGAAGCAAGTTTCTTCTGTGCGTCATTAAAGCTGGACAGTCACAAAGAATATGCGTAGTAGTTTCCTCATGTTCGAGGCATAACCTACATTCCGGATTAGCAAATAATTACAGTTTATGAAGGTGATATTTCAGACCATAATGACCTGTAATGAAACCCGTTAATAACCTTAAATTACATTTTGAGAATTTAAGGATGCCTTTGCTTTTTCTAAGTTCCGGGAAGTCTTCCCAGCCGCATAAAATTTTCCCTTTCCTTGATAATTTGTTTTGTACTGGCCCAGTTTATCCCCCAAAAGGGTTGAGAGCCTGTAAAAGCAGTGACCCGGAACCCAGTATAGTCTTACCTTATTCTGAGCTGCAAGTAGCTGTAGGAGCTCATAACACTCAAGGACTTATTTCGGCTTGAAAGTCCAAGACGACAGAGCTTTAGGAGCAGCTTGGTTGTCAGATGAGTCTAACAAGTCATTAAAATAACTAATACAATGAACAAATAATGAATAAAAATTAATAATTTATTATTTTAATGACCAAAAACATTTTAATAATAATTTTGTTTTTAATCGGGCCAACTGAACAGTAGTTTTCAGAATTCCACAATAAAGTAACTCCGGAACATTAAAAGTTAAACATTTTTTTGGAAGGAGACACTTGAAAGTTATTTCTACTCATACATGACATATCATATTATCATGCTAAAGCAGCTGGGCTTATGATAATTTGGTTGCCACAATCTGCTTTTAGTAAACACATGATACCAATTCGACTCTATCTGCCTCTTTAGCATCTAAGATTATAAGGACATTATAGTTTTTACAAAGCAGTTTATTTGTAATGAAATAACGTATAATGAAATTTGATAACAGAATATTACCGGTCTTTTTATAACGCCAGGTATGGTAATTTTTTATATAAAACTTTTTCCATAAAAGAACTGTGGAACTTTTGTGGAGATTTGAAAAACTAATATTTTCGAAGGTTCTAGATGCCAATTTTTGTAAATTAACTCTGTGGTGTCTATATATCTATCGCCCCACTAAGAAATCGGATTTTTTATGAAAATATTTTTTAATTAAATATAACTAATATAGCATATATTGTTTGACGTGATTCTCATTTCATATAATTTTATAGCCGCACTTGTATTTATGTCAGGAGGAATGCAGATGGCGAATAGTTACTACGACAGCGACGATCACTTCCGTGTCTCATGGTTTATAGGTGCGATTATTGGAACGGTATTTGGCGCCATCATCTGTAACTATATTAACAAGAAAATATTATATGTAAGTTAAATTCTCATAGATTCAATCATAAGTTTTAATAAAATCAATTTATTTATGAATATTTCCAGCTCTTCTCTTCGGTTCTGGTCATAATTGGTGGTATACTGTTCGTATCACTTCCACATGAACTTAGTGGACTAATATCTGCACGCTATATTGATGGCATAGCAAGTGGATTACTTTTTGCACCTTTACTGGTATTAGCTGGAGAGGAATCAGTAAAGAGTATGCGTGGCATGTTGGCTTCATCAGTGGAAGCAATGTCTTTCGCATTGGGCATTTATTTATACCTTATATTTCTTTCGTCATGGTCATCATACACAAATTCAGCATTTAGTTTAACAGAAATGTTAGGAGTACTGAGCATTGTATATGGCCTTCTTGCATTAACAATAGCTTTCTTTTTATATGTAGAATCACCTGTATTTTACTTAGTTCGTAACGAAGAAAATCAAGCAATTGATTCTTTACGCCGTCTCCAACGCCCGTTCGTGGTAACATATGAAACTTATCAACAACTGGAAGAACATAAAGCATATGTAGCACATAACAAGGAAATGTCACTTGGAGTTAGTATAGTTTCTGGTTTACCAGCTCTATTGAAGCTGTGCATGTATCGTGTGTTGATTGCTTTGAGTTACTCATATTTGACGAATGTTGCTTTCAGCATTGCTTCAATTGTAAGTTATACCGGTGAAGTATGGACTTATATAATCATGGGCACTCTACGTTGGATGGGAGTATTAGTCAGCGTATTTATGATAGATTCTGTTGGACGTAAGAAACCCATGTTGTTCGGTTCTCTAATTTGTGGAGGAATGGCAATTGGTATAGCTGTTTTATTTGATACTTACTACTTCAATTGGATTAATTATGATAGAATGACAACAGTTTTGTACTTATTCTTCGTGTTCCAGTTCTTCGTCGGAATCTTCATAAGTTCTTCTTCGGCATATTTAAGTGAAGCATTTCCATTGGCTGTTAAACCAATTTTCATAGGAATTGCTTTCATTGTTGAAATGTTGGTGCAAATTATTTGTGTACTTGCTTCTAATTACTCTGATATTCCCGGTTTTTTCTATGCCACTGCATCAATGTTTTTTGTATTCTTTTTCGTTGGATTGTTGACATTGCCAGAAACTAAACAAGATACCTTACGTGATGCCCAAATAAAATTCCGGCAACTTTTTTATGTAAGATTAAACTAAAATTTTTTTGAACTGTGTTAGAAGTGGTATAATATAATATGATATAATATATAAATAAATATTTTCCTGCTTGTTTATATCATATGAAATATAAAATTGATATTTTTTTTAAATAAATTCCTAAAAGCAGTTTCTATTTACGAATTTTATTTCATTACTTAATTAGGTTTAGGAGATTGAAATATTAAATTTTATTGAATTTAAGTTCAAGTGCAAAAATGATGCGAGTGTATATAGAAATTTTTCGAATCATGTATTAATCACATCACAAATCAGTTATGTATTACATTTTTATTGTAATATATACGTATACATATGCATATATATGATTCAAAGGCTTTTGCAATTGTCTAAAGGGCAGAATATTCATTACTCTAATCATTACTTCGCATAAATAGTAATAATTTAACTAAATATTTAATGGTTAGGAAGAATATAAAACTATTTTTGAGCTTGGCTCTTGCAACACTTTTTGTAGTGAATATATTTCGACTGTTTATTTCTAAAAATTCAGCTAAATAAACTGAAGTACTGAGACTAAGAAAAAAGTTTCAACTACTAAAAAGTAATCACATGCAGAAAAATAACGACAGTGACTTTTTATTCACATATATTTGTTGACGTATTCATACCAGTACTTGGTAGTTATAAAAAACTAGCTAAATAAAAAGTATTATGTAGAACAAACTATTCGAAATAGTTTCTCTTCTTTCAATAATAATTGTAGAACTAATATCCTTGAATATTAAAAAGACTGCGACCAGTGCCCCACTAAGACTTTTTATCTATATAATCTTGAAGAGGGCAATCTAACAAGGTACGCAAAATTCCTGGATGAAGTCTAGAATTCTTCGTGCCTTAAAGTCTTCGATAAGATAAATAGAAGATTAGCTTTCTTGATTAGTTTGGAAAAATAATGAAATTATCTTAAAATATGGCTTACAGTCATGATATACTGATGGGTCCAAAATGGAAGATGACAGTGCAGGATCAAAAATTAAAGGACTAAAATTACGCAAAGCAATCGCAATTGAAAAAACCGCTTCCATTTTTCAAGCAGAGGTTCATACCTTAGAGCTGCATGCGAGAGAGTGCTTACGCAACGGCACCCGAGGTACCCAAATATGCATTTTTTCGAACAACCAAGCAGCTCTAAAATCTTTATCAAACACTTCATTCCAATCAAAGTAGATCTGGGAATGCTTTCAACTTCTCAATACTCTAGAATCGAGGAACTATGTTACTCTTATGTGGGTACCGGGACATGAAGGGCATGAAAGCATTGAAATAGGAGACTTTCTATCAAAGAAGGGTGCATGTACTGCTTAAATTGGTCGACAGCCTTTTATGGGATAACAAATAACTTCATAAATAACTTATTATGTGAACGGGAGAAAAACAATATACTTGAACACTGGAGAGCACGAACAGACATGCTGCAGTCAAGAAGACTCACTGATGCCGAACACGTCAACATTGACGCTATCCTTAACCTTAGCAGAAACAATATTAGACTCTACACTGTACTTTTTACAGAATACTGTAGACTCAATTACCACATAAAGATTATAGGTGCGGTAAAAAGTGATTCCTGTCGACTCTATCATGGGAGAGTAAAAATTAATTGTTGGCTTCTAATCACAGTCAGATAAAAATATTTTTAAAAGATTTCATTTACTTAAGAGTACGAAAACTTAAAATCAAGCGAGCAGTTTTATTTTGAACGTGAAGTAGTGAAGTTTGAAATAAAAGCAATATATAAACTAAATTTCGAAACTGAGAAACCAGTGTTGAAATAATTGGTTGGTGCCACGGCTACAAAAATAACTTAAAACCAAAGCGCTTAAAAGTATACTATACTTATTTTTAGAACGTATGGATTACTATCCATTAAAGAACTCTAAATTTTCTTGACAAATAATAAAATGTTTTAATAAATATTTTTAATTTACTTATTTATTCATTTTAATAAATTATACATTGTAGAATATAACCTATAAAATTAACTTGTAATCGATTTCCAGACACTACGTCAGCATAAGATCATAGTTCTTTTTTCATTCCTATGCTGGAGTACGTGAGGAATAAATTTAAAATCAATTTTTAAGAGCATTACATAGTGAGCGAAAGCAAAACTCGTGTTTGATCTTCTAAACAGTCTTCATAGAAGACAATAAAATCATTTACTAAAAATTGTTAACTTATATCTTTAGTTGTTCCCTAAAAATTTTAATATATAAATCGAAATAGAAAGAACACCACCAAATACTTAAAATATAAGTAAAGCTACAAAAAGAAAACTGACAAAACATCACTTTATGTCTCATTGTCAGACTTTCTAAAAGCAGTTCAAAGCCGCGAGAATGATATCAATAAACATAAGCAACAATTATCCCCGAAAGGTGAAATCGAAAATATGAAAAAAGAAGAGATGAATAAAATAGAAGAGCTTTAGTCTGAAAACCAAAGGCTATAGAAGGAAGTCGAGCAGTTGAGGAAAGAGACAGAGATATGGATCGAAGAAAACTCAACAGAATGGTTGTAGAAAGTAAAAAGCGAAGCTTGATCGTGAAAGTCGTGGTAAAAGAAGAAACCAGACATAGATATCAATTACTATTCTATTGAAAGAGAAGCAATGTTCAAGTAATTATTGTGCATTGTGAACGTTATACTGTAATACAACAGTGGAGGTATGAGAAGGAAGGAGTCTTTTCAAGTGATTCCCATCAGATATTGGAGTAAAATAGGGTTGTCTGATAAATTCGTTATTTTTTGCGTTGTTTACTTATTGTTTAAAAAATTACCTTTCCGAGAATATCTCAATAAATGGAACATGTATCAAATTACTACTATAGGGAGATGATGTGATAATTATGGTGAATTCGCTTCTCTTCTACCAAATACTGATTGTGAAACTGATGTTGTAAATGAGAATTTCTCGAATACTGATTTTCGGTATAATCTACACACATTTAAAGAATTTAATAAATAACTTATTAGGAAAAGTGTGGTAATAAGAACCAATATTCTCTGATATTTTAATTGATTACTGGAATTAAGATGTGTTTTTTGATCGGAATAATTTTTGCTAGCTAAACTGATTGTATTTGTTTTGCTTTGGATATTATATCAACGAATATAACCTTGAGTACTGATAATGATATTCTCAGATAAATTATTTTGTACTGTACCAACGGTAATTGGTTTGAGATTGTTGGCATGTTGATTTTATCAAGTGATGATTGTTCGCTATAATCATTTCCAATGTAGAAAAATTTTAATGATATTAAATCTAATGTATTTTAAATAGTGTATATAACTGATATATGACATTCTCTGCCATAAAGTATAAAAAGTATCAACGAACATTTTAACACATCACATGTTATCTAAAAATTATATTAGTTCTATAGTGAGAACTAAATATAGTGATAGTGAGTTCTACAATACTGAATCCAACCCATTCATATATTTTTAGAGTAAATTATGAATCTTATGATTTAGCTCCTAACTGTTTACGTATTTTATAACAAAAGTGAAACAATGTTTTTTACGTATAAAAATTATAAACAAACTCTCACATTTCAAAATTTGAAGAGTAAAATTAATTGTTGGCTTCTAATCGCAGTCAGATTAAAATGTTTTAAAAAAATTTCATTTAATTAAGAGTACGAATACATAAAATTAAACAAAATTAAGCGAGCAGTTTTATTTTGAACGAAAACGAGTGAAGAATATAACTTATTTGTTACTAAAACTAAAATATTAAGTAGGCAATTATATATACACTATATATATTAGAGATATTTTAATTCAACTGACATATTTTATAGTAAGTTTCAAAAAAGTTTTATTCTAAAAAATTGTTAAATTTGATGAATTCATTAATTTTTTAATATATAATTATAAAAAGTTTATTAAACGTTATGGATACAAAGCAACCATATTATGGACAAAACCCACAATATAATTCTGATTATCCACCGCAAGCACAGCCCTCATACAATCCAAACTACCCACCACAGTCCTCATACAATCCAAACTACCCACCACAGCATGCCCCGCCACAGACTGGATGGTTCGAGCGAAACAAAAAAAATAAGCCACAATCAAATTCTATAGGAGCAGGTAAATAATAATAAAATTAATAAATTATATTGATTTTTTTTGTGCGGAGAGGAGGTTTGAAATTTTCCAACGCATCGTCCTTGCTAACCGGTATGTCCGGCTAACCGGTATGTCTGACCAATTAAAAACAATTCCCCACGTGTGCCAGACTCTTTCTGCCCTGGAATTTTGACGAGAATACTTTAAGGTAGGTAACCTCAATTAGGTTATCTGTTTATTTTTTTTTTCGAAATTTGTCATTTTTGGGATCACATTTTAGCCGTTTAAATATAATCGTAACAAATCGATCTATGGCGGTCCAAATTTCTTCAGATATCATCATCATTGTGATAAATTCGACGTTTATTTCACTATTTGTTGCATTAAAAGATGGTGGGTTCAGCTTTGTCTTCACCTGCATCTGCGTATATGAATTTTGGATCATTTGCTTTGCCAATGCAGAAAAGGTTTTTTTTTGAAAATATCCTTAACCAGAAAGGAATTGGGTTACAAAATAGTTTACTTTGCCAGTTTTCCTATCTGACCATTTCGCTACATCTGGATTTAATCTTGTTGTCTATCTTTTTTTTTTCTGCATTCTAACTTTGCTGCCAGAGCTGTTGTATTTGTTTGATAATATGCCAGCTGATGATCAGTCCCTCAAACACAGATACCGTACGCTCAGATTCGCGGTTCATTGTACTGATGCTAATGCCATTTTTATCTTTTTATTTTCAGTGAATTAGCCCATTTTCGGTTCCGTATAGTAGGACATTAACGATTTTCGTTTGTTCTATGTTGTGCTGCCAACGTGTGTCATTATTCTTCTCACCGATGGTGTAGCTTTTGGTGCCTTGCTTGCAGCTTGTTGGATTTATGTTCAAAATGATAGTTTAGAATCTAAGCCTAGGCCTAAGTATTTTATTACTATTTTCGTATAATATCTGTCTTCACATAAGTTCATCTCCACTTCCAGCGACATGTGTGGTTTTGTGAATAGAAGTATCTCTGTTTCTTCAGTTGAAAGTTTTGGGCCTAGATCTTTGTTCTCCCTATAACTTAACTTATTTTGTGCCGTTTTCAATGCGGCTATATCGTCAGCAAAAAGCTCTAAGTGTTTATCATCTGGCACTCCCATTTCTAGAATGTGGTCATAATTTAGGTTCCATATATGGACTTAATGCAATTTTAACTGATAAACTTACGATACAATAGCGTGGATTATTAATCTTTTTATTATGGTAAGTGCAATAAAATAACTTAACATTATCATGGTACTCTGATAACGCTGGTTTTCAAAACAAAAACAATATGGTTTATGACTTAATAAAGACTATATAATTATAAAACACTTTGACAGTAAGAATTTTTTTTAATACATGTTTGAGATCCGAGATTGTGTACTGCCAGGTAGTACCTTCTGTTCAAAAAGTATCGGGACTGTGTTGTTTGTTAACTACTCTTTAAGTAACAGACCTTTTTCTTGACATATAGTACAAATTTGAGTGCCATCTGTCAATTAGTTTGTTTACAGCAGCTATTAATGTGAGACTACCTCAAGTGCATTTAACGATTTTTACTATTGAAAATTCTTGTTGTACGCGATTTTTTGACCAAACACGGCACCACTGTCATGGCTCAGGCACCATATTCGCCAGATCTGGATCCGTGCGACCCTTCATAATAAGCGTTTTGAGTCGATTGAATCGGTAAAAGAGAATTTGCTGAAGGAACTAAAAGCCATACCTTCACGGGTCTACGAAAAGTGTATGGAAGATTGGGTTAAGCGTTGGCATATGTGTATCGCTTCAGAAGAAGCATATTTTGAAGGAGATAAAATAAATTTGGAATAAAATTTAAATTTGTGTTTTTTTTACAAAATCCGAGTACTTTTTGAGCAGAAGGTAAATGTGTAATATAATCAGTTTATTCCACCTTTCTAAGTTACAGAGTCCTTATAGTGTCTGAAACTACAGTTATGAGCACCAAACAAGTATTTTAAAATAATAGGATGGGGTTTAGATGAAAGTAGATCACCCAAATGCTGAGCGGTTTTCTTAATCGCATATGTCCAATATTAACATGGCAAGTCCAGAAGTGTTCTACAAATGTTTGCATTATACACATCTGAAAGCACCTTCAAATTAATCTTTTATTTCATATATTATTCAGAGAATAACCAATTCCAGCCTTTACAGACCTTGCTTTCTTATTAGCTAAAAGATAATAATAAATCTGTTAGTAGTTCGTCTTCTTTCTTTGCATGATAGCTAGAGTGGACCACTTGTTTCGATCGCTCTATGATCTTCACTTATTTTCGGAAATCTTATTTTTTTAATCCTTTTAAACCCGATATACATAATCATTTCTTTAGTGGTGTCTATCTTCCTTCCCATATAGGATGTCTAAAAAATATCACAACAAAATCAATATGCATTCTTATTATGTGACCCAAATACTTTCTGCTGCGTGTTTAAAGAATTTCGAAATGACCGATCCGTCTATACATAATGCAAAACATTTCACTTGAGATCTGATGTTTACATTCATAGATAATGTGGAGTTTTGATAATAATTTAGAATCTGATAACTTTAGTCTAGAGTTTTACGTTTAAACAGAGAGTTTTATTACTATTCTACGTTTGTTCTTAGGCTTGTCATCAATTTTGTTCTTTAACATTAATATAATAAAGTGACTTTAAAATTTCTAAAGTATATCAAAGTAGTCACTAGTTTTAATTTTAGCATTTGAATTTTTTCCATTGCTCGTATAATACCGCATTACTTTATTTTGGTTTCAATTACTCTGAATCAATTTTTGCTTACTAAACTGTATATTTTTTAACATTGCTTCTAAAACATACCTTTAAGACATGGTCTGTTCAATCAGATTAATAAAATCAGGCCAATCAATAAAAGTCTATTTCCAGAATTCCACAAAGTAATGCCGGAACATCAAAAGTTAAAACCTTTTTTGGAAGTTATTTCTAATCATACCTGACATATCACACTATCATGCATCTAGTAAACATATGATACCAATTCGACTCTGTCTGCTCCCATACATATATAAATATAAAGACATTATAATTTTTACACAGCAATTTACTTGAACTCATCAAACGTACAAGTAAAGACTCACTTGAGAGCAGCATAACGAAATTTGATAAATGAATATTACCGGTCTTTTTATAAAGACAGGTATGGTAATTTTTTATATATAACTTTTTCCATAAAAGAACTGTGGAACTTTTGTCGAGATTTGAAAAACTAATATCTTCGAAGGTTCTAGATGCCAATTTTTGTAAATGAACTCTTTGGTGTCTATCTACTTTATCTATTTCTTCAAATAATTTTATGTACTGTAGTAAAAGTAACGCATGACTAAGAAATCGAATTTTTTATGAAAATAATTTTTACATAAATATAAATAATATAGCATGTATTATTTCACATGATTCTCATTTCATTTTATTTTATAGCCGTACTTATATTTGTGTCAGGAGGAATGCAGATGGCGAATAGTTTCTCCGACAGCGACGATCACTTCCGTGTCTCATGGTTTATAGGTGCGATTATTGGAACAGTATTTGGTGCCATCATCTGTAACTTTATTAACAAGAAAATATTATATGTAAGTTAAGTTCTCATAGATTCAATCATAAGTTTTAATAAAATCAATTTATTTATGAATATTTCCAGCTCTTCTCTTCGGTTCTGGTCATAATTGGTGGTATACTTTTCGTATCACTTCCAGATGAACTTAGTGGACTAATATCTGCACGCTATATTGATGGCATAGCAAGTGGATTACTTTTTGCACCTTTACTGGTATTAGCTGGAGAGGAAGCAGTAAAGAGGATGCGTGGCATGTTGGCTTCATCAGTGGAAGCAATGTCTTTCGCATTGGGCATTTATTTATACCTTATATTTCTTTCGTCATGGGGATCATACACAAATTCAACATTTAGTTTAACAAAAATGTTGGGAGTACTGAGCATTTTTTATGGCTTTCTTGCATTAACAATAGCTTTCTTTTTATACGTAGAATCACCTGTATTTTACTTAGTTCGTAACGAAGAAAATCAAGCAATTGATTCTTTACGCCGTCTCCAACGCCCGTTCGTGGTAACATATGAAACTTATCAACAACTGGAAGAACATAAAGCATATGTAGCACATAACAAGGAAATGTCACTTGGAGTTAGTATAGTTTCTGGTTTACCAGCTCTATTGAAGCTGTGCATGTATCGTGTGTTGGTTGCTTTAAGTTACTCATATTTGACGAATGTTGCTTTCAGCATTGCTTCACTTGTATCTTATGGGAATGAACTATGGACTTATATAATCATAGGCACTCTACGTTGGATGGGAGTATTAGTTAGCGTATTTATGATAGATTCTGTTGGACGTAAGAAACCCATGTTGTTCGGGGCTCTAATATGTGGAGGAATGGCAATTGGAATAGGTGTTTTATCAGATGATTACTTCATTAATTGGATTAATAAGGATAGAATTTTAACAATTATATACTTATTTTTCGTATTCCAGTTCTTCGTTGGAGTCTTCATTGGTCCTTCTTCGGCATATTTAAGTGAAGCATTTCCATTAGCTGTTAAACCGTTTTTCATAGGTATTGCTTTCATTGTTGAAATGTTGGTGCAAATTATTTGTGTACTTGCTTCTAATTACTCTGATATTCCCGGTTTTTTCTATGCCACTGCATCAATGTTCTTTGTTTTCTTTTTCGTTGGATTGTTGACATTGCCAGAAACTAAACGAGATACCTTACGTGATGCCCAAATAAAATTTCGTAAATTGTTTCCTATTAGATCAAGTTAAAATTGTTATTGACCTTTATTAAAGGTGTCACCATCTGTGTACTTGATTCGTACATCATAAGATGAAATATATATATCCTTTAAATAAATAAAAGTGGTTCTAACTTTCAACTTATGAATTTTATTTAATTAAATAACAAAGTTTGAAATATTAAATATTATTGTCTTTAAGTCCAAGTGCAAAAATGATGCATGTGTATACAAAAATTTCGAATCGAATCATTACACATCACCTATACATTGCCTTTTAATTCTCAGATATACATATACATAAGTATATACATGATTCAAAGGGTTCTCTGAATGCGCACCCAATTTTCTGGAAAGGGTATAAACAACCCTAGATTACAGAGATGATTTCCAGAAATGTGAGAATGTAATGCAAAAATAGAATATATAATAGAAAAATAAAATAATAGGAAAAGAAAATAATATAAAAAACTATCTTAGTCTAATCAACAAAGACACAAATGAAATAAGTCTTATAATGACTAACGACTTGGGAAAAATTTTAAATAAACATTTCTTTATAAAAGACACAAATATTGAAGAAACAGAGGATCAATCAGGCCAATCACAGGCAACGCAAACAGTATAATACATTCTCAAACGAAAGACTTAATTAATCATATTTCAGTTTCAGATACAATTAAAAATCACTTCAAAACCCAAATAATTTTAAAGAAACGATAGGGAATTCGATATAATCTTTTCGAATAAACGTATCCTTATTGACAAAGAAGAAGACATGAAAAATAACAAAATTCCGTATGTGGTGAAAAAATATATTATAACGGAAAGAATAGCAGTTTTTACAGAAATATGCGATAATTTGTATAAGATATTACAACACAATCTTATAAATATATTTAATAATAAAAATGATAAATATATATGAAATGTTCGTTCTTTATTTATTAAATAAGCAAATCACATTATTCCACAAATTTGAAACAGGACACTCCAAAATATGAAGGGATTAAATCAAAAGTTTATAACCCAAAATTGAAAGGTTTCTTAACAACTGCCATATTTATACCTCTGCAAAATATGTCGGAACCCAATGACACTAAAGTATTTTATTACAGAAACCCCATTTATAATAAATAAAGTAATTCACATCGATACCTATGCCAATAACAAGCATTACTTTATAACATTCATCGATAAATTTTCAAAGCTTTTCAAAGTTTTATTCACTGGATAGAAATCATCGGACTATAATGTATCAGATCAAATAATTGTTTGCCATTAAAGATTATGTTAAGGCATTTATTTTTGATAATGACTTCATTTCAGCTGCTATAAAGGACTTCCTTGCCACAACAACAAATTCAACAACAAGCAACAAAGCCAAATTCTCATATAGATAACTCAGATATATAGAAATTAAATAGTACACTTACCGTGAATATAAGAGTTCTTGATTTAGAAGAGAAACTATCTATGAGCACACAGAAAATTTTATAATCTTCCTACCATAGTACAATCAAATGTACACCTTTAACTGTAGTAAACTGTCATCAAATACACCACGACATCATTAAAAACCTTTAGAGGAATTGAAACTGAAAATTACGAGGAACACAATCAGAAAAGGAAAGAATATGAAGAAAATAGAGAAATAGGGTATATAACGAATTATAAAAAACTTAGACACGATGAAGAAACGAAGTTTGTTAAAAAACCATTCAAACATCGGTATATTAAATGTTCAGGTAATACTTCCAATGCTAATACTTATTTTGACGATTGCACTCCCTAACAGAGCAATATGGGTGAACGAAATTGAAACCGATACAACCTCGATATACTACAATTATACTTACAGAGGTTTAAATAGTTAACACTACTATTACCGTTGTGCACATAATTAATCCACAAGAAATTCAAAACATAGTTGAAGCTATAGAGTCAAATATAAAACCATTAGATTTAGTACATAAAAAATTGTTTTGGAGAGAAATAGAAACACTTAAATCAAAAATGAAATCGATTACTCCAGCGGAATATAACAGCTCCAAAATAGGTTAAGTTCATATTGCAGGTACAGCTTAAAAATGGTTATATGGAAATGAAAACATATGGAAACATGGATAATAAATGAGAATAACGAAATGTTAATACACAATATGAATAACCCAATAATGATCAGAAACCACTTTAATGGAAGTCGTAACATGAAACATTCCTTTGGGGGCAGATATAATGATTTTACAAAATATTTGTTTTATTCAGAGCAAATGCTAAAAATTAAGACCTCAGAGTCTTACATAAATCAATAGCAGGATAGTATTGCCTCAGCTAAGCATAATATCGTGAATTCAAGTTTTCCAACCACCGAAGAAATAATTGGAAACAAAATTGACTTAATTGACTTCTTCAAATTAAAATTGTTAAAGTTAAGCAGGATGCTTTATGATAATTCTAAATTTATTATTGCCATTAAAATACCAGATAACTCTATCACAACCGACCTTAAAGCAATTGCTCCCATACCTACAGAGTTGTTGACGAAAATATCAACAAACTTCGCACAGATCTAACTGTCAAACCATTAATGACAGATTAATGACTCAAAATTAATTCTTTTGACGGTACATTATCTTCTTTACGAATGTGTGAAGGCATTTTGATTTTTATGGTGTAGAAAAAAAGTTGTATGTGATGGATTTCAAACGTGATAGTGTAATTGTCTCATATTTGGCTGGAAAAACACAAATAACTATCGTTCGAGCCCTCTAACAGTCAAATGTGAACAAATCATTTGTGTCTCGTACCATAGCTCGATACCTTGATACTGATAGCGTTATGCGACGTTCAAAAAGTGGACAAAAAAAACAGAAACAACACCAGATATGATTCGTAAAGTGAAGAAGCGAATTTAGTGAAACCCACGTCGTAGCTGCAATCAAATAACAAAGACGCTGAACATGTAGTGAGGAAAGATGCAACACATTTTGAAAAATATGCTCGCTCTAAAGCCATTGCAGTCGAACAAAGTGCATGATCTCACCGATAAACAAAAAAAGTTAGAGTCGAAAGAGCCAAAGTGTTGGTTCGTTTGGCCGAAAGGTTTGTTAAACATACAAATGGCGGCCAGAAAGCAGGCGCCACCGATTGGGACAGCTGATGGCCGCTCTCAATTCGTGTTCATCAACGGTGGGGTAAAAATAAATGCCCAAATCTATCGAGAAATTATTTTGAAGAGACCACTAAAGCTCTGGGCAGATAACCATTTCGGTCGCAGCTGTTGAACCAAAATAAATTAAATTTAAAAAAAATAAACAAAATAGAGCGTTTTACTTTGTGGCAGTCTTCGTCAGCAACCCAGTATAATAGTGAATCCAACCTACTCCTGCATTTACCGGGAAATTATGAATCTCATGATTTAGCGCATAATTTTTTCGTATTTTATGGAAAAAAGAGAAACATTTTTATGCAATTTTTTATACATATAAAAATTATTAACAAATTCTCCCATTTGCCAATTTGGAGAGTAAGATTAATGGTTAGTTTGTGGTATTGTTATTGTCGTAGCCAGATAAAAATGTTTTGGAAATTTAATATACTTAAGAGTGCGAATGTGTTGAATTAATCGAATAGTTTTAGTTCGAACGAGAACGAGTGAAGTTTATAAAAAATTTATTATTAATACAAAAATATTTAATAGGAAAGCATATATATAAAATATATATTCTCTCAATGTGACATTTTAAATTAACTAAAATGATTTATAATTTATTTAGAAAAATTTTTCTTATGATTTAAAAACTTAGAAATGTTGTTAAGTTCGTAGAATTCATTTATTTTTTAACAGTGGATAAAAAAAAAAATTAAACGTTGGATATAAAGCAACCACATACATTATGGGCAAAATCCACCATATAATGATAACCACCCACCGCAAGCACAGCGAACGTACAATCCAAACTCACAATATACAATTCCACCACAGTATGTCTCACCAAAGACAGAATGGTTCCAGCGAATCCAAAACAATATCCCTCAATGCAGTTCCATAGGAGCAGGTGAAAAATATGCAATTATGCATTTTAATCTGACAAGCTTGCGATACAATGGCTTATATTACTAATTTTAGTGTTATGGTAAGTGCAGTTAGAAAACAGTAGATAATAAAATAACACAGATATGGTGCTACGACCTTAGGAAACTATATAACTCTATAGAATTGCAGCTATTTTAGTAAAGAATATTTTTTGCAAACAAATATGTGATCCATGAACTGATGGATTAATAAACACAAAATCGGATTATATACAATACATTAATTTATAAGATGTCCTAGTTAGAACACCAACTAACATCCTTCAAACAACATCGAAATAAGCTAAACATAAGAGTTTACATTGTCAAAAGTTAACATGTAATGATTCTGTTGGAATAATAAGAAATTGTTTGGTTTCGATTTGATTTGATTGTGGTAGTATATCTAAGGCTATATCACCACTGATCACATCAGCGCTAATTCCGCACTAAAGATTCTCTCTTTGTCAGTGTTGAAATGCTTTTTAATTCAGTTAAACATTTTCTATACTGCTTGGCCGATCATTTTATTTGCTTAAGGTTCAGTTCATCATGAAATGCGCATCGTCAGAGAAATAATGATGCCAAAATGGTGCGAAAATGGTGTTTGGCTTCAATGCATTCGAGTGAGATGTATTTCTGCAAAGCAGGAAGTAATTCTTTCCATCCCTCTTATCAAAATTACAGATGATTTTATTTAACATAGTTGATCTTGTATATCCCATGCCTTTACAAAACATAAAACTATAATTTGGACGACAAAACAAGTATATTAAACTACAATAGAGTTCAGATTATATTAAATTATTCATATGCTGACTGGTTGAGGATATTTATAATCCTTCTAAATTTTTTTAATGTGTACATTACATGTTCATACATATGTACATGAAGTTACATTTAGTAAGTACCTAAAGGAAAATATCACTTTAATTATAAGAAAACGAATATCATCAAAAACTTTATTTCAATAATTTACAAGGAATTACCAAAATGCGGTATATCATTTATAAAAACATTTTGCGTATCATTTCTTTTTAATATATTAAATATTATTATACTAT